ACTTGGACTAGGTGAGCTCTGACAGTCTCTCTGTCCAATTTAGATGTCTTCCTATACAGAGGCGCAGAAAGGATGCTGGATTCTTGAAAGCTATATTAGTGGAACACAAGTCTTGTCAGGTTCTACCAGATTGAATATGAGTTGGTAATGGATCATTTCTCTATTGTTCCAAGACTAATCTGGCTAAGCACAGCAAAAGAACTCACCAAAGGTTTGGCTACAAGGTGGTGATTTTGGGGTTTCTTTTGGCCATGACTATCTGCAAGAGATTAGGAGCTGGAGCCATGTAGATGAAATCACAGATCATTCAAAGTATCAGAAAGAAGAAGAACAGTGGTATAAATAATTAAAAACAATGGGTAATAAAAACATCATATTTCACTTTGGATTTTTTTTGGGGGGGACAGATTGAATTTACTAATTATGTGTGTTAAGTTCATGTGTTTTTCTTGAGATAACTCAGAAGGACAGAGAAACCAACTTGTGGATGATCCATCCATGAATAATTGATAACTTACTGTAATACTTTTTGTTATAATAATAAAATGATAATTATAATAAATAACAAAATAAATTTGATTAGACTACTTTATAAATAAAGCACAATGTGAGACCCTTACTTAATTGACCATTCTCAATGAATGACATTTTGAAGATGCCTTTTAATATATGTGTGTATATATATATATTATATATGTGTGTATGTACATACATATATACACACACACACATATATATATATATATATAATATATATATATATATATATATATATATATATATATATATAAAATACACACAGACACAGAATTAGAGGTCATTTAATTCAGTCCATACCTGAACAAGAATGTCCACTCATGAAATCCCCAACAAGTGGTCTCTAGCCTTTGCATGAAGACCTCTTAACAATACATGGAGACCCATTTCTGTGTAGCACATGAACTCAAAGTTCTTATCTCAGTACTTGGGATAATGGTGTCCCTTATATATGAGATAGATGCCATTAGAATTTGAACATTGCAAGTGCCAGTTTGATTTTGTTGTAGTTCTAATCACTGCTATACTTTTTTTTTGGTTTTCATTGCTCTCTTGACTCAGTATTTACGTTCAGAGACAGTTTTATGACATTTTCAAGAGTTAATGACAAAATGGGAGGCAATGGGCTAAGGTGAAAATAACAATGGACTGGGAATTATTAGTTGGATGTTCTAGTGGCTTTGCCACTAAACTAGTTGTGTGACCCTGGGCAAGCAAGTCACGTAAACTTTGAGCTTCCTTCTTTGTCTGCACGATGAGGAGGTTGGGCTATACTAGATGACCTCTAAGGTTCCTTTCAGCACTAACATTTTATGGATATGTGAAATAAATATGAATGCAATAATGCAATGTTATTTATATTGTAGAGAGAGCTCCTTCCAATAGGATCATACATTTAGAACTAGAAGGAGTCTTAGAGGTCATCAAGTTCAGATGGGGAACTAAGGCCTAGAGGGATTAAATGATTTGTTCTGAGTCACCTCGCTAATAATTATAGGTAGTATTCAAACTCAGATCTTCCTGCCTCTCAGGCCAGTGACCTATCTACAATACCACAGTACCCCAAAGACATCCTCCCAATTATTGGTACTTCCTTCCCAAATTACTTTGAATTTATTCTGAGTATATTTTATATTTACTATCTGTAAACATATTGTTCCCTCAGTAGAATATAAGCTCCTTAAGGACAGAGATTGTTTTGCTTTTGCTTTTGGGCATATTCTTATAAGTAGCTGATCAAATGAATGGTTTTGTGACTTTAAGGGAGGATTTGATTGTAACGTATCTTGCCCACTGAGGGTATGTTAGACATTACTCCATATCCCCTCCTGAACTTTGTGAGTGTTATAAGTTGTGTTTTTACATTGCTCAATTCATTGTGTTCATACTACTTTGCATTCTGTTTTTAAACATTTAACATTATTGCATTTAAACATTTCCCTAAGACCAGTCCCACTTAAATGTCTTAATTACATGGACTTTTTTAGTCCTCACTGAATTATAATCTAAATTCATAGGAAGTTGAAGAATCTTTAAAGCTAGAATGGACTTTAGAGATTATCTCATATAACTTCATTTAAGAGATGAGGACAGTGAAGCACATAAAGGTGAAATTACTTCAAACTCACACAGTTAGCTAGGGACTAAGCTGGGACTAGAACTCTGGTCTCTTGGCTGCCATGACAGTTTTCCTATTTATCTTCAGCATCAGGAGGTTGTATTAACTTTCAGGATTCTGTTTGACTTCAGAAAGAACTGAGTTCATGGCAAAGAGAAATCTGTCAGCCAGAAGAATCTATCACCTGAATTAGAACGATTTTTAAAATTGCTCTTTGAAAGATTTTTGATTCATTCATATAAAATCTAATGTTGGAACCCCAAAGGAAGAAGCAAAATAGGGCCCAAATTTAATTACTTTATGCTCCAGCACTGACTCACTGTAAGATCTTGGGCAAGTCACTTGGACCTTCTTATATTTCAGTGTGTCAAATTAGCCATAAAACTTAGTAAAGTATGACCTCATTTAAAAACAGATGTGACAGCTAAGATAAGCTTTCATATATTAAAGAATGACCAAAAGAAACTCTTAACTGATTTATAACATGAAGAATCATAATCAGAGTGTTAACTGTAGTAAGTAAAAAATTGTTTCCCTTTTGGAGATTGAGTTTTGAGCAAGAAGAGTATACACACACACACACACACACACACACACACACACACAAGTTGTATTGAATTGTATTTTGAGGACAATTAAGGCTAAGTGAATCGTTGAATAGGAGAATAAATGTTATTCTAGAGAGTGAATAATTTTCAAGGTTAGAATGACCCAACTTTACAAAAACATAATAGAATCATAATTTACTTTATATTTAATATTATTTGTTATTCTAGTACTACTAATTATATCCTATTATTTATGTTAGGCATGACATGAAAAAGTTGCATTTAACTCTCAGAAAACTAGAAAAAAAAGATGAGTACAAAATATCAGACAAGCTAAGTAAATTACTAAGCAATGGAATCATTCTTATTTTCTCAGACCTGTAAAGCACTGGGTTATTAATATTCCTTGTTCTGATTTTTGTAGGCCCCCTTTGTTTATTTCTTTATTTACAACTTTCCCATTAATATGTGCACTTTATTCCCATTAAAATTCCTCCTTCCCCCTCCCACATCTCCAGTTTGGAATTAAGATTTCTTTGTAGATTTTATAAAGGGAATAATGTATTCCTAAATTGAAAAGGAAGGTTATGGTAATCTTTAGTTTGTTCCAGAAATCACTCTAAATTGAGCTGAAGGTTCAGCCTTTCTATGGCATTCCAGAAGCGGATCCATTAAGAAATGTATAATCCTACTCCAACTAATTGCATAGTAGGGTTATCCTGTTAAATCCTGTGGTCTCTGCAAGGTACAGGAACATTCATATTCTTTTTCAAATATTTTTCTGTAGTCAGAAGCAAACATAACCCAGGAAAACACTCTCTGGTCCACCACGTCAATCAAACACTTTGCAACGTTCTCTGAAAGAGTAAGGGAAGGATAACTTGCAACTGTTGCCCTGCCTTGTAAACAAAAGATCAAATTCTGTGGTCTGCCTTTGCAAGAAGTGAAACTATAGCATTTTTGCAAGATAAAAAAAAAGAGAGAGAGAAGTGTTTAAATGGAATGACTGAAAACACCATTTTACTACCTTGCAGTACAATTTAAAACGTGCCTTAGGTAAAGTAAATTTAAAGATAAAATGTCATTTTAGAAGGCCCAGCCCTAGTTATGAATGTGATCAAGCCATAGTTTGGAGAAGGTGGAATTCTGGATTTTTGATACTTGCCCCTTTAAGTATATGTGCTATAAAGCTGCTGCCGCCACCCATGATAAGTAAAATATATATTTTTAAAACATGACTTTGCAAGTCATTAATATATTAAATTTTGGTGCCCTTAGAACTGAAATGGACAGTGTTTTTGCACAGATAAAAAATGAAAACGCAGCAGAGGGAAGGGTAAATGTAATTCAGGTTTACAGAAGGGATTATTTAGTGGAAAGACATGAAGAATTAGGCAGTTCAATATTTTAAAGTTTAATTGACAGCCAAAGCAAACCCCTCCCACCCCTAGCTATTCCTTCAAAACCAGGGAAAAAAATATGGAGAGAAACCCTCCAGCCAACTTCTTCCACCATAAAATTGCAGCTTGGTTTTTCTTTCCCCAGCATACCTCTGATGTTGCTTTACATTTGATGCAATTCATTTCTGGCCTAACTCCATCTCCCTCCTTTTCCTTCCCCAAGTAGTCCCAATCCCTTCTCCTCCAGTTTTTGTAGCACTTGGGGCAACAATTTGTGTGTGTGTGTGTGTGTGTGTGTGTGTGTGTGTGTGTGTTTAAATAGAGCAGGTCCCATGAAGCAGTCTGCAATGTCAAGCAAGCAAAGTTAAGACTCCTGGACTATGAGTTGTATAGAGACCACCGCAGTAAGGGCATCTTTCCCAGTCAGGAGGCAAAGTATTGCCGCAGAGACATCTCGGGGTGAGGGTGCGGGGAGTTTACCTTTTCTGGCTATCGCAGGGCACCTATGTCACCCAAACCTCACTGACAGACGTTCTGTAAACCGACCGTTCCCTATCATTCCCTGCCACAGTGCTGGATTCCAGCCCAAATTCTAGAGTTGTCTGTTTGCACTTCATGCCAAGGTGCTGTCCCTTCAGCTTTAGCCTGTAGGTACGAGGAAGGGAATGCCTCGCTCTCCCCTACCTCTTGCTGCCGGACCGAGTTGACAGAGCAGGGGAGGAGGAGGAGGAGGAGGAGGAGGGCCCGGCCTCTGGAGGGTGGAGAAGGAAAGGGAGGGGGGCGGGTAGGGGGAACGTATTAGGGGCGAGGCTACGCACCGCGCCGCAGCCACTCTCCCTCTCTCTCGCTGCCTGCGATCCCCAGGCTCCGGCGGAGGGATACATCGCATTATATATAGAGAGAGTTGAGGCGCAGTATCACACCTCCAGCGCTTGCAGTGGGAAGTGGTTTGCGGGAGGCGGCTCCGTTACTCGGGCGGCGGTGGCGGCTGTAGTAGTAGCAGCAGCAGCAGCCCAGCAGCAGCAGCAGCAGCAGCAAGAACAGCCACAACCTTGTTCGCACCCTCGGAGGCCGGAGCTGCAGCAGGGACGGTGGTTACAGCGTTAGTGCAGCAGGCTCCCCACCGAAGCGGCATCAGCAGCCTCATTCGTTCCTCCGTTCCTCTCTCCCCTCTCACGCACAATGGTAGGTAGGGGTGGCTCCTGCTGTCGTAGCAGCTGCTTGCGCTTATTTTCCCCTTTTCTAAGTGTTTGGTTTATTTCTCCTTTTTGCTGTTGGCTTTTTATTTTTTGGAGGGGCAAGGGTTTGCCTTCTAATTTTTTTCTTCTGGTTCTCGCTATAAAGAGCGAATAACAGGGATCATTTTGGAATTGCTTTTTGTGTGTGAGTGTGTTTCCCTTGCAGTGGAGTTTCTAATTTTTATTCCTTTCCCCTTTCCTCCTTTCTCTTCTCCCCCCCCCCAGCTGAACTTCGCCGTGGGCTGTGGAGCTGCATGGGCGCTGGACCTGCTGCAGCATCTGCCCTCTCTTGTAGCCCAGCACCCCCTTCTCTTCCCTCCCTGCCTCCCTCTCCGCCTAGCCCCTCACTGCAACCAACGCACGCTTCCCCCAGCTGCCTGCAGTGCCTTGCCTGCAGCGCGCCTCTCACCTCGGGGGAGGCTGTCGGAGGGCAGCAGCTGGGGGAGGGGGAGATGATTGTGTTGTGTGTCTGCTTGCTTTGGGGGGCGGGGAGGGCGTTGGGGCAGGTTGCAGCTTAGCTTTGGGGAAATGGCAACGAGGTTGGGTGTTGGAAATGAGGTACGCGTTCTCTTCCCGGGTTATCCACAGAGAATGAATGAGCTTTTGGCGCATAACGCCTGAGCCGGACCTCGGGCTTCGGGGTTTTTGTGCCTCCAGGGCTGTCGCCACCCTGACAGAGACGCAATACATGTTTAGTGCTAGTTGCTCCCTGATTGCCACCGAGTGCACCTCTCTGAGATTGGACCAGCGGCGCCCATTTCTCTACCATTCTTGTGCGCACAGGACGGGAGTTGGGGGGAGGGAAGCTAAGAGGCTGGAAAGGGTGGAGTGGGGGCAGGAAAGGGAGGAATTGGGGGGGCGGCGATGTAGGAGATTTAGAGGGAGAGGCTTGGATAGGACGGAAGCAGCCGAGCTGCACTGCGCCTGGGGGGGTGGGGGCTCTGCAGTTATTGCAATGTGTCCCTTTCCTCCTACCCCAAAAACGCAGCTGTAAAACCATTTGTGGGCTTCGTTACATCATGAGGTCTCCTCCTTCCCTAGAGAAGCGTTCTCGCTTGCGCGCTAATTGGGGCGGGGAAGGCGGGAGGTGGGGGGAGGAGGTTGAGGGGAGCTGGCGAGCAGCTTCGTTTCCATTAGAGACTGCAAAGTTTCTGCTTTGGGAGGAGGCGGCTGCGGAGTGGGATGGAGGGTGTTGGAGGAGGCTGCCTCCGGTTTGCCGGCTTGTGAGACCAGAAGGGGGTGGGAGGTGGAGGAAGAAAAGAGGAGTGGAGATTATTGGACAATGGTGAACACAGTGACTGCAGTGGTTGGAAAGGGGAAGCTCCTGAGTCCCTTTGCGATAACCCTAGTGTCAAGGAACATATTTATTAGCTTTCTCTGAATTTCTAGAATGTTCCAAGTCTCCCACAATTTCCTCTCATCTCGACTTTTCCTAATATGCAGTCATCACTTCACTTTGTCATGGTTGCGCTCCTTTTCAGCTGCATTTCCCTACCCTGCTCAGTGTTAGTTCCCGGTCTGAGGGGGGAGATGCCCTCCATGGTTTCCGCTCTCTCTTTGCAGTTCCTGCCGGCCTGTAGATTGCCAAATGTGATTATGGGCCTTGCTGGGTGTGTGTTTTCCACAACCCCCTTCCTCCATCACCGCCCCCCTCCTCTGGGGATAACTGACATCACTGGGACAGGATTTTATGGCTTGGCTGGGTGGGGTTATCGCTCCAGTGTTACTACCTTTGCCCTGGTAGTCAGGGCAGTGGGGTGGTGTCAGGAGGTAGTTGCTTAGGTAAAGCAAACTGCTGGATGCTTTATAATGGCCATGTACTCTTCAATAGCTCCAGTATGTTAAATCTTTTTTTTTTTTTGGTTGAAGTGCAACTGGCTGTGCATTTCTTCCTGGCTGTAGGATAAGGTGTGGCCTTTTCTGTTGTACAATAGAGACCTTCCTCTGGTAGCATTACATAAATCATCTTGACTACTTCATTTGATCAAAGAAAGCCAATTGATTTGCCGCTGGGGTTGAAAGAATGTACACATCCAAGTTGTTTACTAATCAGCAAACTTAGGTTCAAAATGTGATTGCTATTGTGGAATGCCCTGAGAATGAAATGTTTCCTTCATGTGTGACTTATCAAGGAAAAAACTATTAGGAATTATTTTGCAAGTATGTCTATAAGATTTCCTTAATTAAAAGCAAATAAGAATAAACCTTGCTCTCTAATTGTGTTTGCTTTACCGTTCAGGGTTCCATAGACCAAAGAGTGCATGTGAAAATTAAATTTCTTGCCATTCACAGCTTTGGTTCTTATTATGAGAGAATCTTGTGATACCCTTAAAATGGGTGAGGTGCATGTTCTACAGCAAACATAATACTTTCTTTCCCCACAGAGAAAGGAAGATGAATAATTATTGTGTAGGTTTCTATAACCTTAATGTTACTGTATTCTCTTTGTCACTGAGTCACATGGTAGTTTGGCTGGGAGCATTATAAAGTGGTAGGCTTTTAACAAATAACTACCTAATTAAAATAACCAGAAAGCATTTATTACATTAAAAGGAAGCTTTGAGGGTGAAGGACAAAGCCATCGGTATACATTTAGTTCCCCCCCTCCCCCCGTTTAAATGCATCTCCTGTAAATGGATTAACATGCTTTTATATCCAATACAGTATAATTATGTAACCTGTATTTAGAGTGCCAGCAGCAATACTCAAGGTACTATAAAAGCCTAGACCTGGATGTGATCCTGTTAGCTCTGGAGCTGAAAAGAGTTGGGCTGGGTCACTTCTTGGATGAGAAAAAAGTGGTTACTGCAGGAAGCTGTATTAAGTGATTCGGTAGATGGCGCTCTTCTGTCTCAGTTCTCTGTAGATACCTTGATGCTAAAAAGGCATTCTGCCACCAGAGGTGCCATTTTTCATATAATATATCAAGTCATGCACTGACCTCTTCTGGTTATTTAAAGTTCTCATAGCATATAAGATAAGCTAAGCTACCTCTTCAGAAAGAACATGAACCAAATAGCAGTTGTCACTTTCTTGCTGTGATACATTTTAAAATTGAATACAGTATATTCCCTGTTGCTTGTGTTTGTGGTCTGGTAGCTGATTTTTAGGATTTTGCAAACGATTCTTTTCATTTTAAAGGCTTTTGTTGGTCACAGAAAAAAAAACTCAATCAGCAAACACTTATTAAGAGCCTATTATGTTTAAGGCACTGTGCTAATTTGCAAGCAAGATTGAACTTGGGAGTTTTCAATACTTTTAATATATTGGAATGCCTATCATTTGATCCCAAACTCTTTCTGCATTGGATCTTAACATTTTTCTTTTCTTTGTATAGGCTGATCAGCTGACTGAGGAGCAGATCGCTGGTGAGTGTCTCTGCTTGGTAGATTGGAGGTAGTGGTTATTGAATGGAAAGGCACAGCCAATCTTTCTGGGGGTGGATCCATGGTGAAAGAAAGGAATAACATCAAATGTAACAAATAATAAAGACCTACTAGGTGAAAGGAAAATAATGCATGAAGATTATTGGATGACATTTAAATCTGAATTTCCTGTTTCACCAAGCTCGTCAGTAGCTGCTTAAGAACAAGCCAAACTGATTAATTAGTTCGTTTTCTCCTTTTGTTTCATCCTTTGGGTTATTAACTAATGAACTAAGCAATGTAATTGCCTGCCTTTGAAGTTTTAGTTGAGATTTCTCAATTTTTAGTAATTTGGAAGGTCTGTCTGTGCTCTCTCTCTCTCTCTCTCTGTCATGAAATAACCTAAATGGAAATGAACACGTTTGCTCTCTCTGGAGCTATAATAATTGAGAAATAAAGCTGGAAAGCAGTCTCTGGTGTCATTGGTAAAATTAGGTTTGGTTTTTAACTTCAGTTATATTTTGTTGATCATATCTGCAGAATCCTTATTTAAAGTAGTCTCATTTTAAATGTTTCTGATTTTTTTTTTGCAGACCTGTATGAATAATTTCCTGTTTACTCATATGGTCTTTACCTAAGAAATTGTAATAAAGAAAGGGTTTTTTTTTTAAATCAGACTTTATAGCTGGTTAGGGAGTTGAGAGAGATTATCTAGTTTTGTTTTCCAATAGTCTGCTTGTTAAGCATACCTAGAAATAACTATTAAACTACAAACTAATATATGTATACGTGTATCTCTCTCTCTCTCTATATATATATACATACATATTTTTTATAACTCAAATCTGTTACTAGAGAGGAAATATTACCACAAATATATATGTATGCATTTTAGGCTGCTATGAGAAGGTAGTCTGATTTAAAAAAAATTATTAGAGTATTTTGATGACCTTTTTTTTTCAAATAATCTGGAAAGCCCTGATTAGGTATGCATTAGACACTTATGTGTTCTTGATTATGATCCATAGACTGAGGTGGTGTGGTGGCTTTTGTTTTCAGAATTCAAGGAAGCTTTCTCCCTATTTGACAAAGACGGCGATGGCACCATCACGACAAAAGAACTTGGAACTGTCATGAGGTCATTGGGTCAAAATCCAACAGAAGCAGAATTACAGGATATGATCAATGAGGTGGATGCTGATGGTAAGGGCTTTGGAAGTCTGAATGAGCTCCAGCTTGTGTAACTTTCTCCAGTTAGAACATGTTCTAAGTCTGTCTTTCAGGCCCATGAGCAAATACATAAAAGGACTTTTAAATAGTTGCTTATGTCTTCATAACCTTTCATAGGGTAATCATAAGGAATCTGCACCAGGAAATGAAAGTAAAGTATAGTTCTTTATTGTCCTTGCCTATTGAAGCAGCTTTCAAGGAGTAGTGGATAGAGGACTAGACTGGGCAATTCAGAACATCTGGATTAAAGTCCTGCCTCTGACGCTACCATCTGTGTTGTCCTGGGCAAGTCCCTTAACTTTTCTCAGTGGCCCCAGGTAAATAAATTGAGTTGTCAATCTTTAGATATAGAGGGACTTTCCATATTGGAAGTTCCCTACACAGGTGAAAACACAAGTCAAAACCAAAATTGAAGTTTAGTTATTTGTCAGTATTGCTTATATATCTGAAAGTTACGTTCTTGTTACCTAGCTTGAACTCTCATCGTTCCTGGATCACCGTGGTTTGGTTTTGTTTCGTTTTCATATTGCACAAAGCATTTCATCAGTCAGCTTTTGAGGTGCAGAACCTTGTTGCTAGGTCCTTAGGTGAATACAAAAGAAGTAGAAATGGTCTCTGCGTTTAAAGGAGCTTACTGTTTAGTTGTAGGGGCACAGAATTCTCATTTGTCCCTTTAAACTGCCCTTTTATTGGGTCACCTATCAGTATCTATCTCAGCAGTGGTATAAAGTAAGCAAGCACTGAGGAGATGTCAGGTAACAGTTTGAAATGGGGGTGGGGCAGGGCAAAGAGAGTCAGTCATGGAAAGCTGCCTACAAGAGAATAAATGAGCTGAGAGGTTAGTGTTGGAAGAGTATAGATAAGCAAACAGTAGTACAGGGCCATCAGTCTTGTTAACCTAAGCTTTTTCAGAATGACTAAATGGTTTATCTTTTAAAATTTGTTACTTGAATAAATTAGCAGGAACCACATTTGCAGTGTTAAACAGGTGAAATATGAGGGGGCATTTTTTTGTAAAAAGGGTTCGGTTCATAGGGGGTTCTTAATGTACCTTACATTTGTGTAGTACTTTATGTTTTCTGTTGTATTTTTTGTGTACATTATCATTTGCTACTCATAGCAATATAACTGTAAGGGGGAATGTGTTTGACAGAGTAATTGAGACTTGGAGAAATTTCTCTAAGATTCCTGGAGAGTAGGTGCTTGAGCTAGGTCTAAACCTCAGTTTATCTCGTTAATAATCTGGTATTCTGTCTACTTTTAACTCTGGTTTCCATTCCAGTTGTTTTGGAAAGTAAGCCTAATAAATAGCTTTAAATTGTATTAGTTGACTACTGAGATGCTTGGGTGTCTGGACTAATTAGATGATTCTCTACTTCCCACCTGAAAACTATTAAAAAAAAAAAAGACTGGAAGGCTCATCTCTTGATGTGACAAAAATTGTACCCTTAAGATACAGGCTACAGTAATTGCTGCTGATGTGATGAGGAGTGATCATGCATAATCAAGAATTGAAAGGGCATTAGCTATGAAGTTTGGCCACTCCGATAATTTAATAACATCTTATTTTTTGTTATTGATTTTAAAAAAATTGCATATATAAAATAACGTTGGGAATTTGTCCTTTGAACACAAAAGGTCATAGAGTTATAGAGAGTATACTCTAGTTTTAACTTTACCAGAAAGGATAACCATAACTAGAAATGCTAACAATGTGATACTGTTCGTCTCTTGTGATTTTGTTCCTTTCATTTATCATTAAATAGCTTGCTTATCACTTGGAACAAAAGTCACTTTTTTCCTAGTTGAAGTATTAACCATAAAACTGAAAGATGGTTGTGGCAGTAAAGATTCTTTTGATGGTACAAGAGGTTGTCATAAATCATGGTCCAAGATATGTGAAATTGCCAAACATCTTCAGAATGAAAGATATTAAGTAAAATGGTAATGTGATGGCCATTGATTGGCAGGGGGGTACAGTAGAAAGCATCTTGGACCAGAAGTCAGACTACTTGGGTTTGAGCCCAGGTCTGCTCCCCAACTACCTGTGTGACCTTAGGCAAGTCAACTACTCTGGACCTCAATTATAAAATGGAGGACTAGAGGACCTCAAAAGTCAGCAAGGTGGAGTAAGTGGATATTGTGTGGGTCTGGGCATCATGAGCATCCGTAAGATGTGCGTTCAAATATTGCTTCAGACGCTTAACCTCTCCCAGAGTCAGTTTCCTCATCTGCAAAATGAGGATGATAATAGCACCTACCTCCCAGGGTTGTTGTGGAGGATCAAATGAGATAATACATGAAAAGTGCTTTTCAAGCAGTATTTAAAAGCTAGCTATCATTATTCCGTATTAGAAGGCTCCTTCTAGCTTTGAGTCCATGATTCCTTAATGTTATTTGTAAAGGTGGGTGGCAAGCAGTACAGGACTATAATAATAAGACTTCATAGGCCACAGAGGAAAGAACAGAATTGCTTAGCTCAGTTGTCATCCTTTTCTTCCAAATTTAATGCATCTCATGTTAATCATTTTGGTGACGGAGATGGTATCCAAATGCCTGTTTTGGAGGCCCATTCTTAGTTTATCAGTAGCATCATTTAGGTCCCTATAAATTCCTACTGAGTTGAGTGGATGCAAACATGGAAGGAGAAACATCTGCTCCCTGTGGGAAAATGAGCTCAGGAGCCAGGCTCTAGGGAACATGAAGACTCAGCTTATCTGATACTGTGATTTCTCCTGTTCATTTGGTCAGTCTTGTTTTGTTGCATGAGCAATACAGTGGAATTTTGGAGTCAGTTTTCTACTTTATCTGTGAATTTCTTTGTATTAAAAGATGCTGTCCTGAAATTAAGTGGTCTGTCACCTAGCAAATGCTTAAAAGTATCTCTTGGTCCTGAAATGGTGTTACTGAGTATCTCTTACTAAAAAACAAAACAATTTTTAATCAAATTGAATAACCTACTTTCTGGGTTTTTTTTTTAATTTGAGGTAATGGCACTATTGACTTTCCTGAATTTTTGACCATGATGGCTAGAAAAATGAAAGATACAGACAGTGAAGAAGAAATCCGTGAGGCATTCCGAGTCTTTGACAAGGTATTGCTGAATCCATAAAGCTTTAAACAAGGGTATCAGAAGATTATTTAATCACCTACAAGCTATAATAGACATTTATCTCCATTAACTAAGCTTTTCAGATGGGCCTTCCAGTGTCCCATCTTCGTGAAATAATGTCTGTATATTTTTGTTGGGGTAGAAATTTCTCATGATTACAAAGATGGGACTTTTTAACTAGTCCTGAGGTTTTTTTTTATTGATTTTTACAAATTAGAACATCTTTGTTCCAGCTGACCAAAGTTCAGAGTGTAGACCTAGAAAATGGAGAATTGTTTATGTGAGCATGGATTGAGTGTAGAACAATTGTGTGAAGCACTTAATAATCATTGACTGTTCACAGGATGGCAATGGTTACATCAGTGCAGCAGAACTACGTCATGTAATGACAAACTTAGGAGAAAAACTAACAGATGAAGAAGTAGATGAAATGATCAGAGAAGCAGATATTGATGGAGATGGACAAGTCAACTATGAAGGTAAAATGCCCACTACTAGACCTCTCGTTGTGGCTTTATTTTCTGTTTGTTTAGCAAAATAGACGAGGTACTTGACTTCTTAGATGTTGGGTTTTCTTCTACACAAAGTACAATTGAGATGTTTACTAAGTTAAAGTTGCTTTGAAGATAACCAAAAGCTGTGGTTGTTTGTCTTTTCAGAATTCGTACAGATGATGACTGCAAAATGAAGACCTCCTCTCACCTTTTTCCCCCCTCTAGATGAATCAAATTGAATCTTTTACTTACCTCTTGCAAAAAAAAAGTTCATTTATTCATTCTGTTTCTGTATAGCAAAACTGAATGTCAAAAGTACCTTCTGTCCACAAAAAAAAAAAATCTGCATGTATTGGTTGGTGGTCCTGTCCCCAAAAGATCAAGTTACACATCAATTTTACAATATAAGTACTTGTACTACTACCTTAAATGATAAGGAAGCACTTAGTGGACTCTTCAAGTTCCATTTGCTAATGATTATTACACTGTTTGGGCTGGCCAGTTTTTCATGCATGCAGCTTGACAATTGAGCACAGTCAGACATTTGTATTAAAAAAAAAAAGAAAAAAAAGAAAAAGAAAAAAAACAAAATTAAAAAATGTACCCATGTGGGTTATCTAGTTCAATTTGTTAGTATAAATTGTCATAGCTGGTTTACTTTAAAAAAAAAAGTAAATACAATAAAGTAAAATTGGTTTACCTCAGGATGGTATGCAGCAAAATGGTTGAAGGATGCAGAATTTCAAGATGTAGCCCTAATGGTGGTTCTTCTGTACTTAAGTGTGCTCCAAACCCCAATGGTGATCTCAAACTCTGGATGGCATGTCTGTGTTTCTGTTGGTTTAGCATTGTCTGCATTGCACTATAGTGAAAACGGATGTCAGGCTCTTACCATTCACACAAAATTTTTGAAAAGAAACCTTCACCAAGGGAGCATCTTTGGACTCTCTATTTTTAAAACCTTCTGTACCATGACTTGGAGCCGGCAGAGTAGGCTGTGGACTTCAGCACAACTATCAACATCGCTGTTCAAGATATTACAATTTATGTCCATTCCAAGTTGTAAATGCTAGTCTTTTTTTTTTCCAATAAAAGACCATTAACTTAAAGTGGTGTTTAAATGCTTTGTAAAGCTGAAATTTAAATTGGGACAGGGCAGCTGAGGGCTGGGGGCATTGGGGGAGGAGGGGAAGTATTGTGCTGGCAGACCAGTATGTATTCAAATACCCAGACCTCTGGGTTTCCCCCCCCCCTCCAGGTAGTAAGAACTAATCTCTGAGTCCTAAGATATTTATTAGAGACAAACATACTGATCGGCTTTTCTTTTTCCATATGATAAAAATGTAAGCCGAGTTGGTCTTTTTATTGTTAACAGTGATCATTTCAGAATGGCCTGAAGAAGAAACAACTCTTCTCTAAAGCATGTACCTGGGATTCTTTTAAAACATGCTGCTGATAACCTGCTTTATGTAACTTACTGACACCATCTATGGGAAAGGCATGATTCACGATTTAGTATGGCAATGTAACTCAATCCTTGCTGTGTGTCATAGAAGCAGTAGGCCACTTTTCTAAATCGATCTCTTCATGCCTAAAAGACTACCTTTCACCATGCAACTTACAAGTAACTTACACATGCTATTCACATAGCGTCTTGTTTGGATTTCTTCTCTTTTCCTCCCTTCCCCCAATTCTCCCTTCTCCACATGTTCTACCTTTCTACTTTATTTCCAAATAGAACTGTGCCCTCTGTGTGTATGCTAGTTCACAGCTTGTAAGTAGAACTCCAGCCTGGAGTGAATTTTGTGTCTAATTATAAACCCTGTAACCAAAACTATTAGAAAGTGCTGACACCAACCTTTGTGATGGCATCAGCTCATACTAAAAAAAAAGTCACTTTAAACCCATGTTGCATTAAGTGGGCCACACTTTGTAGGAAGCTGGATTTTTCTATGTGTTAAATTAGTTCTATCCAATTAGTACATTTATAGATTCTGAGTTCCTGAGTATTTATTGAGTTTATTTGTCTGGGGCATGATGGGATGCTGCTAGGGAAATCTGAGATTGAGTCTGCTACTTTGCAGCTAACTAATGTATGAAGAGGCTGATCCCTGAGGCATTTTGCAGCTTTTGCTAATGTTTCTGCCAGAGGATGGTTAGGAGCAGTGAGGTGTGGCAAAACTCAGATCAGTTTTTTGCTTTTGATGTTTTGGTTTTTTGGTGGCTGAAAATTAGTGACCAGCTTAAGGTTTGGAGAGACTATAAGTTTTAGTTGTCCCTGTTATGTTACTGAACCCATGAGCATTAAATATCACTGCTTTCTCCATAACGTGGAGAAAAATCCATATTTGGGCAGGTGATTAGGCAGGATTAGACTTCAGATCCACTTCTAGTGCAGGGGTTTTCCCCACACTGGTATTGCTACTGGAATGGCTCTAGCTAGGAATTTTAATAACTTGGTAGATTATGATGTTTCTGGACTGTATGTGTGTGTGTATGTGTATATGGGGGAAGAGAGAGGCATAAAATAGCCTGATTTTTGGCTTAGTCTCTGGTTTTAAACCTGTGATAAGGCGACTTAAAAATGCCTCAGTCAATGACTTCTTGATGTTTTAACAGAGATGACTTTAAAAAAAAAAGCAAATCACAAGCCTTTCCAACTCATCTTTCTCCACCTAGCCCTTTTCTTAATGCTAATGGGGCTTTTTGATTCAAATACTAACAGTCTATCTGAACCGAATATCTAGGAAACTTGATTTTTTAGCTTTAGGGTTCTTTTGAGAAGTTAGCATCCTGTTCCAGACCCAGGCACCTTCCCCAAAGAATGTCTACCAATAATAAATGTGCAGAAGTGAAGAAAAAAGCTGGTGAGAAGTAGGCAAAGGTAAGGTCGTCTTTTTCCTTCCTGGTGTTTGGGTAGAGAGAAAAGAACCAATTTTTTTTTTTGGTCAGGATCAAGTGTTTGGTGTAAACAGAAACTGGATATGGTGAATGTTTTAGAGTGAGTGTTAGTTGTAAGCTAGTGATATTGCTCCTGGATTTGTTAGCACTTCCCAACTACTTTTGCCCCTAACCCTTCCTGCTTTATAAATATATGCATATATTTATATATATAAAGTCACTAGTATAACTGGCATCCTGCTTTAGCCTAAGACTCGTCATAAAACCACTCAGTACTTGGCAAACACTTTCTCATGGTTTTGTTCTCCATCTGTTTGGGGGTAGGTGTTGAGAGAGAGGCAAACATATCTTGATGTTTCAGATGGGTTTTTGATGCACTATTGCCAAGGAAGGTTTTTTCTGATTTTCTGACAAATGAATTTTTTGCACACACTTTAATTGGTGTCTTTCAGCAACCTAAAACATTGAAAATTAGCTACTGTACATATTTTTATATTCTCTTTATAAAATGCATGTTTGGTTGTATTTGTAATAATATTGTAATGGCTGTGCAGTAGGCTTAGAGTTGATGTATTTTGTGTCAAAGCAGTAGCAAATGATCCACTCAACATACTGGGAATATATTCCTAATCAAAGAATGTAAATCTGGTCAAGCCTGTCTTTATTCAATTATTATTTTAAAAATTTGACTTTACTGTGCAGCCCCCAAACGCTTGCTCATCCTTTGACAGCAAGTTTCCACTATTTTGTCTTAATCTGTCCCTTCAGCTAGCAATTTTTATCCCCTTGAGATTGACTTCAGGAGACTACATGCTTTCTCCCATATGTATCTCTGCAGTGGAAGGTAGTGAAATGTGTGGAGTAGTGTTTTCCCCTCCCCCAAATTCAGTATTATATTCATTAAACACTTCTGTAGCAAAGCTCATAGTAGTTCTTTTGTTACCAAAGTTGCCCTTCATGACGGCTTTTTGGAAAAGGTGTTGAAAGTTTCTGTAACAGATCAAAATGTGTGGAGGTTTAGCCACCTCTTTGATGGGGGACCAACTTATGGAAATATTGTAAATAAGTTTATTTATAAACCTGACACTGTATTCAATAAACATTTCTGCAGCCTTTCATCTCTAACTGTGAAGTCTATAGGTTTTTAGATTTTTTTTTTTTTTAAAGCTTTCACTGTCTCCACACTACACAAGTTAGACCCATGATCTGTGTAAGGTAATGCCAGAGGCCTCTGGCTAAAAAGGGGGAGTGAAGAAAACTTTTCCTACATCCATTGTGCCTTTTATGTTATGTGCTTAATTATTTACAGTAACTTGTTCTTTGTAGAGCTGGATTTAATGTGTATGCGGCAGAAGCAAAACTGGTTTTCCTATTTATCAGTGCTGGCCTCATACTAGCAACATTCTTTGGTCTGAGCCTGATAACCAGCTGAGGTATCAGCATAGGGAACCACTGGGCTCAAGGTGTATGGGTTAGCAACCTTTATGAAGAAGAGGAGAAAAAAGCTTTCTCATGAACACAGACCGTATCTTTAAACCCATTCTCCCACACTTGTGTTGTTTGCCCAAATCTGACCTGTAATCAACAAGTATTTGACCGGTAAGATAAAAAAGGGAGTAACCCAAACCATACTGATCATCTATCTTAGCTGCAAGCCAAAAAAAAAAAAAAGGAAACCTGTCTGTCACTAACTTGTCAAGTTACCGCGGGCAAATGACTTCACTTCAGGGGAGAGGCTGGACTTGCGTGATCACGCTCCATCACTTGGACCGGATGGATTTAAAAGACGCGTCCAGATGGTTATTTGATTATCTGGCATTTGAACTACTCAACTCCATCCAGTCCATTCATTTCATATAGTCTATCTTTCAGTAGATGATGGATTGTGTTGGAACATTTGGAATCAGAAGATTTATGAATCCCCCAGCTCTAGTCATTGGGTTTGGAGTCAAAAGACCTGCATACGAATCCTAGCTCTACTTTGGGAAAGTCACTTCATTTTCTCTAGACCACAGTTTTCCTTTTACTACAAAGTAAAGAGTTGAACTAAAATGAGGTCAGCTCTTTTGCAGTCTCCTGTGATCCTACTTATTACCAATAGGTATTTGCATGAGGGAAATTACTAGTCTGGGTCTCATCTACAAAATGAGTTGTTGATCAGTCATGTCTGACTCTTCATGACTCCATTTGGGGTTTTCTTGGCAAAGATCCTGGAGAGATTTGCCATTTCCTTCTCTAGCTCATTTTACAGATGAGAAAGCTGAGGCAAACAGGGTTAAGTGACTTGCCTAGGGTCACACAGCTAGTAAGTATCTGAGGCAGGTGTTCCTGACTCCAGGCCCAATGCTCTATCTACTGTGCCACCTCGCTGCCCGTACAGAATGAGGGCCTTGGACTAATAGTCCTCTTCCAGGACTAAGATGTTATGAATCTTTTAAGTAAAAATTAATTTAAGATATAAAAATGGCATTATCGTGTGGTTATTTAGCAGGTCTTACTGCTGACACGTGAGTATCACAAAGAATGCTAAGAATGGGCGTTTTGGTATATCCTATTAAAACCCTTTTAAAAATCACAGGATTTAGAGCTGTAAAGGATCATAGGATCAAAAATAGTCCAGGCTCCTCTTATAGATGAAGAGAAGGTAAATGACTTACTCAAGATCACAAGGTAGTAAAGAGTAGGACCAGATGCCAAATCCAATTTGTGGACCTTGAATCCAATGATACTGCTGCTACATATGGCATTGTGTACTCACTGGTTCTCTGTGTCCTCAGCAAGGAAAGGTCACTCTCCTCTTTTCAAGCTTTCTGCTGCCCTGTGGCTTAATGTCTGTGATTTCTTTCCTGTCCCCATCCAGAAGTAGTGAGGAGAGGCAGGAGTCAGGTGCTCCATTTTTTCCCTCAACATGAGGATGGCTCTGGAGCTCTCTTGTTCACCTGTACCTTCTTCAGGATTGAGTGCAGAAAAGGCAATTCACATCTCTGCAGGTCTTCCTGTGGATGACAACTCAGGATGCTGTAGAAAGGGTTTGTGTTCAGATTGGATTTGGACTTGATGTCTCTGAGGTGTCTTCTAGCCTTAGAATCAAAGAATTATAGGAGTTAGATTTGGAATAGACCTTAAAGACCATGAAGAGAGTCGGGGCTGGAATGGAGAAGACTCCTCTTCCTGAGTTCAAATCTGGCCTCAAGACACTAGCTGTGTAACCCTGGACAAGTCACTTCACCCTGTTTGCCTCAATTCCTCATCTGTAAAATGAGCTGGAGCAGGAAATGGCAAACCATTCTAGTATCTTTCCAAGAAAACCCCAAATGGGATCAGGAAGAGTTGGACACAACTGAAATGACGGAACAATGAAATGAATGCCTCATTTCACAGATAATAACAACAATGGCTAGCTAGCATTTATATAGTACCGTAAGGTTTGCAAAGTGCTTTACATGTTATTAGTAACAACCTTGTAAGGCAGGTGCTATTATTATCCCCATTTTATAGATAGGGAAACAGACAGAGAGGTTAAGTGATTTGTTCAGGGTTACACAGCTGGTAAGTATTTGAGGCAGGATTTGAACTCTGGTATTCCTGCCATCAGGTCCAGTGTCCTAAGTGTACCACTTAGCTGCCCAGATGAGGAAACAGACCTAAACAGGAGAAATTACTGTTGTCCATGGTCCCCAGATAACAAATGGCAAAGCTAAGATTCAGACCAGGTTTTCTGACTCTGAATTTTGTTTGCACTCTACTGCTGTGCTGCCTCCCAACTGGTGCCAAGAGTCTAAACTCTGATAGAAAGGGAGCAGCTGCCCAGGTGTGGTGGAAGGAACTCCAGACTCTGGTTCCAATTCTACTTATTGACTTTTCTGTGTCTTTGGGGAAAATACTCTCCAGCTTCTTTGATCTCTGAATCAACTCTAACAATTTGAGTCTTTGCCAAGCTTGATTTTGATTTTAAAATTCAAGAAATTGTAGCTCCAGAGAGCTCAGCAATGCCGTAGAGCAGTGCTGTCAAACTCCAATACAAAGGTCACTAACCCCTATATAAAGGTCTCTGTGGGCTGCATATTGAGTTAGAAGACCATGTATTAAACATTATTTATGTTTTATTTTATTTTGGGGAAAACTACATGGATAGAGTGCTGGGCCTGGAGTCCAGAAAGCCTGAGTTCAAATCCAGTTCAGACAATCACTAGCTGTATGACCCTAGGCAAGCCACTTAATCACTGTTTGCCTTAATCCACTCCAGTATCTTTGCCAAGATAACCCTATGGACAGTATGGTCCTTGGGGTCGTGAGGAGTCAGACACAACTTAATACCAAGATTTTATTTTTATTTATTTTGTTAAATATTTCCTAATTACAGTTTGTTCTGCTTTCTGGTAGTTGTCCTTGGTCCTTGAAGAGGACCATGACATCAGAGAGATGATGACATGACTTGCAGTTGAATTGGATTTGAGTGAGGGAGGGCCTCACTTGCTCCTCCAGAGCCATCTGGGTCCAGTGGCTGGATATTGATCAGGAAGGCTGGAGACGGCGCAAGATACAGTGAGAGAACTTGGCCTTTTTAAGTCAAGGTCTTTTCAAGTTCTCAGTTTGAGTGAGGCAACACCCACTCAGTGAATAGGCCTCTTTAAGAAGTGAGTCTAGGGGGGCAGCTAGGTGGCACGGTGCATAGAGCTCTGGCCTTGGAGTCAGGAGGACCTGAGTTCAAATGTAGCCTCAGACACTTAACACTTACTAGCTGTGTGACCCTGGGCAAGTCACTTAACCCTGATTGCCTTACCAAAAAGGAAAAAAAGTTAGTCTAGGGTGCACTCAGAGGGTATGTGTCATATGCTGCCCATGTATTGGACCCCTCTGCTAGAGGGGACCTGAGAGAGCATTTAACCCCTCTGTTTTACAGATGCTTGGGACTAGAATTTAAGAGACTGTGCTCTGAGCTGATGAAATTATTTTTAAATCTGCAGTTACACTGGGGGCAGGAGTGGGGGGGAAATGTTCATCTTGCTATTAAAAGTAATACAATATTGGAACAGAGGACAGAAACTGGTGATTAAAAGGCTGGTCAGCTTACTTTCCATCTTTGTCCCAGGAATCTAACAGAAATAGAAAGCTCTCGTGGGAGCTGGGTGAGATCAAATGAAGTGACCACGTCATCAGGTTTCCAAAGCTCTTTTTTCTTTAAAGTGGGGAAGGAGGAAAAATGTACATTTCTGCTTCAAGCGAGGTTCTGAGCTGAGCAGAGTGGCACCAGGAATCAGTGAATCAGGATGCCTTAGAAGGAAATGAAAATTTCTGTTTTCTAGCAATTCGGATCTCATCTTGGAGCCTTAAGCCAAGGAATCAGAGAAGAATTCCATCATCCCTGCAAACCTTCTATTTGAAATGGATTTAAAGGGGGAGTGGGGTGGGGGTGGGATTCTATCTTCATTAATGTCTCACCTTTAGTAACTCGGAGACACAAGAGGAAAAAAGTTACTGTTTCCCCTTCAAGGATGGGTTTTTAGGTCATGGTTGTTAGAGTGGACTTGTTCGTGTACGGTTATACACAATTAGGTGGTGACCTGAATAATTCAAATGCAATATTCTAAAGTCTTGTTTTCATGTGAATAAAGATAGGAAGAAAAACTTATCCCAAATCACACATCCTACAGTAAGATTATTTATGAACATCATATTGCAATCTATTAATGTTTTTATCCTGTAGTGTGCATCAAAAAAAGCAACAATTTTCCATTTTTACTTAAATTATTTGGCTTTTCTTTTTAACAGTTAGGAGGGATATCTTATAAGTAATGTGTGTGTGTGTGTGTGTGTGTGTGTGGTGTGTGTGTGTGTGTGTAGTGGGGGGAGGAACATTACCATTCAGGGATAACAGCAGCTACCCTAGGGTATGGTTTCTCTGGCAGATGCTATATCTCAAATTCCATTTCCTTTTTGATTAACCTTGTTCTACTTTTTCTGGTTTGAAGACCCATACTTGATAGAGAAGAGTGAAGAATAAGGTGAATAGTTCTACTTTGTCTCTGTCATCTGCTAATATCATACCATCTGTCCTAAACAGAGGGGGACTATCCTTCCTTTTCTTTTTTTTTTTTTGTAGTGAACACAGTGGATAGAGCAAT